GGGAGGGAGAGTAGACCCGGCACCCTTTCCTTTAGGGCTGCAGTGGGTACCACGGTGCACTCCTCAAATGCCTGTCATGGAGGGCAGAGGCGCCCCTTACCCCAGGAACCGGGAGTGCTGGCTGACGATGGCCCTCAGCTGAGGCCCTCCCCTAGAACTGCCTTCAGCCTAGGGGGGCCGCCTGTCTGAGTTCATACACCCGCTCATGGGGGCAGGTCACCCCCAGTAACTGGGCAATGAGGGTACAAAGGCCTCGCCCACTTGCTGCAGTTGTGCACACTCTTAAAGAGCTATCCTAGCTCCAGAGTTCCTTCCAGATGGGACCATTAGGGGCTGGGGTCGAGCCTCTGCAGCCTCTCGTTTAACTGCTTCCGAGAGGCCACCTGCATGCGAATGGCCAACCTACAGAGGGGTGGCCTTTAAAACTCCTGAGATGGACTGACTCAGCCTAAACTTTGTGAGCAGGCAGGAAGAGGAGTAACGATTTTAATTTTTAATTAAAAAGATTATTTTAAATTAAAAACCACGGGATCACACGGTGAGAACACTGGCTCCTTTTTCAATAGTTCCAGTTAGCCCAAGGAAGGTCTGAGCAGGTGTGATGTAACCAGCCTCAGGCTCAGAGGCTCAAGTAGTTCAGAGTTTCTAGACAGAATGCGTTAACACCCTTTGGTTTCTACTGCACTTATTTTGACGATGACCTTCCATTTACAGCATTCATTTTCTACTTTCAATGATGATGCAAATTTCCCTTTTCAAATAAGTTTATTCAAGTTTTGTTAAGTGAAGCAAATTTTTTTTTTTTTTTTTTTGAGACGGAGTTTTACTCTTGTTACCCAGGCTGGAGTGCAATGGCGTGATCTCGGCTCACCGCAACCTCCGTCTCCTGCGTTCAGGCAATTCTCCTGCCTCAGCCTCCTGAGTAGCTGGGATTACAGGCACGCGCCACCATGCCCAGCTGATTTTTTTTGTATTTTTAGTAGAGACGGGGTTTCACCATGTTGACCAGGATGGTCTCGATCTCCTGACCTCGTGATCCACCCGCCTCAGCCTCCCAAAGTGCTGGGATTACAGGCGTGAGCCACCGCGCCCGGCCTAAGTGAATCAATTTTTAAAGCATTAAACAAATAATACAAAGGATACTCAGCTATGGCAAAAATTACAAACGTAGCATGTGAGCTGATGAAGTGGAAAACACTGGCTCAGCCCTTAGGAAGGTCTAAGCCCACTTCTGCAGCTGGCACAGCAGTGACCTTGAGCTGAACCTTTCTTTCAGTTTGCTTGCATGTCCAGAGGGCAGGCGAGCTTGGGGCTGGATTTTTTTTTTTTATGTTATTTTGTTTTGTTTTGTTTTGTTTAAGGCAATGTCTCACCCTGTCACCCAGGGTGGAGTACAGTGGCATGATCTCGACTCACTGCAGCCTCTACCTCCTGGGCTCAAGTGGTCCTCCCACCTCAGCCTCCAGAGTACCTAGAACTACACACATGCACCACCATGCCTAGGGAAGGGACTGAACTATTTTCGATGTGAGACAGAGCAACGAGCACAACAGAGTCCCTATCCTCATGTTGTTTATATTCTAGGGAGAGACAGAGAATAAACAAAAAGGAGCACAAGATCCGACGTGTCAAAGGGCGATGTGGACCGTTCAGTCCTGTTCTGTTCTGTTAAGAATGACAGAGCGGGGAGGGCGTGGAAGGGCAGGAGTGCCGCCTGTTAAACAGGAGGGCCTGGAGGCAGGGATGGCATTTCCGAAAAGCTTTCAAGGCAAGGAGGGAGGGAGAGAGCCGCAGGGATATCTGAGGGAACTGCTCCAGCAGAGGAAGCGGCCTGGGGCAGGAATGCGCTCAGACTATTCTAGAACAGCGAGGAAACCAATGTGGGGTAGTGAGTTCCAAGGAATGGGCAGGGCCTGGCGGGGTGTGGGGATTTTATTCCAGTGAGGCAGGAACCTTTGCAGGGTCCCGGGAGTGGGGCTGAAGAGACTTGATTCATGTTTCCAGCAGGACTCTGGCAGCTCAGGGGAGAACCAGTCTCCAAAATACTTCATCTCTGTCAAAGCCTCCAACATCCATCCTTGCGTCCGGGCGTCACAGCAGCTTTGTGAGGCTGGAAGGACAGTAGCTCCATTGAGGTGTAGGGGGCTGGTGATACATCGCCTGGAATGGGGCACAGGCCTGGGGACCCTGCACAGAGTCTCACGCTCCAGAGAAGCCTGGGAGGTGCCAGAAAGCACTGGATCACGTGAACAGATGTGCAGACAATTCAAGTGAGAAACAATTCCTGAGCACTTATTACGTGCCAGGCACTACTAATCTCATTCATTCTCTCAACCACCCTAGAAGGTGAGTCTTGTGATACCCACTTTACAGATGAGAAAACTGAGACACAGAGAGGTAAGTCATTCTTCCAAGATCACAGAGCAAGGAAGCAGCAGAGCTAAGATGCAAAGCCGGGCAGCTGGGCTCTAGAATGCTTGATCTCCCAGGCCCAAGGAAGGATGCCAGGAAGGCCCCAGCCCAGAACAACTTTCCACAAACGCCTCAACGTCCACCCTCCACAGGTCATGACTCTGATGCTAAGTGCAGCCTTCACCAGGTGCCTAGTTTGATGAGGCTACATGAGGAGGGTCCCAGGTAGCAGAAGAGAGGGCACGGAAAAGAGGTGGCTTCATACACACTAAACTCCCCACCCCAGACCCCTAGTCCTCTGCTGCATCTCTGAGCAAGTCAGCAATCCTGCAGAAAGAGAGAGGTGAAAATAGCCCTGCTGTGTCCTCAAGGTCCAGGGCCTCTTGCTGACAAGCAAATTAAACCCACTTCCCTACAGCCTCTGGGACTCAGGCAGAGAAGTCAAAGGACCAAGAGGGCAGAGGGCAGGGCTTTTGGCAAACAGGACAATGCACCTTGAGGACCCTTTCTCCCACTTTCGCTAAGTACAGACAATCCCACTGAAGCTTGGATCATGACTTCACAGCCAGCCCCACGGCCACCCACTCCAGGAAGCAAGCCGGAGTAACACCCACAGCTAACACTCACACGGCATTAGCGGGCTGCTAATGGGCCAGGCCATTCATCCTCCTGACAGCCCCCTGCGGCAGCTATTGTCGTTACCCCCATTTTACAGAATTGGAGACTAAGGCCCTGAGAGGTGAAAGGACTTGCCCCAGGTCGCTGGGCTGGCGAGCAGTAGAACAGGGATCTGAACGTTGGCTGTCGGCTCCAGAGAAACAAGCACTCCCTGAATCCTCTGAACCTGGAGAAGACTGTCCCGCTCATTCTTTTCATTTTCCTATTCAAACACCTTTACTGAACCACTGTGGCCATGTGCCGCTTCTCACCACCTCCACTGCTACCATGCTGGTCCGAGCCACCTTCATCTCACTTGGCGAGGTAACCTCTTAGATTACCTGCCTGCTTCCAGCTCTCCCTCCACACTTACTGCCTATCACAGCACCCAAAGGGCCCCTGCAACCCAAAGCGGACAGCGTCCCTCCTCTGCTCAGTGATCCCGCCAGCACCCAGCTCACCTGCGCCCCAATGCACTTTTATTTGTCCAATTTCAAACATGGAGGAGCGTCCGCTACATGAATAGGAAGATAATGTCAACATTTACTGAGCACTTACTGCGCGCCAGGAGCCGCAGTGAGCAGGCTCCTTGTATTATCTCACTTAATCCCCACAATATCATGGATTTATACCCCTTTTATGGGTAAGGATACTGAGGCACAGACAAGATCAATCAACTTGCTGAGAGGACTACAGTTCATGAGTCGCTGAGCAGCCTAGCCAGGAGCTTTCCTTGTCCTCGCTTTCACATAGAGCGTGGCTGGCCCCTGGCTGAAGGACTGCGTCCTGGGGTACTCTGCACGCCTGATCGTACATGAGATTTGCCCCCCACTGCCCTCTGAGGGCAGAGCCACACAGCTCCATCTTCTTAGGCTGTGGCCACTCAGAGGTGATCCCTTGGAGAAGTGATTAGTGATGCCGATGGCGCGATGACGACCATGATGATGATGATGAGAGTTGAGAGCGACTGCGTGCTGGTACAAAGTTTCTCCACCTTGGCGCCACTGACATTTGAGGTCAGATAACTCTCTGTTGTGGGGGCTGTCCTGTGCATTACAGGATGTTTGGTGGCATCCCTGGCCTCTACCTACTAGAAACCAGTAGCACCCCAGAGCTGTTACAACCAAAAATGTGTCTGGACACTGTCCAATGTCCCCTGCGGGCCAGAGCTGCCCCAGCTGAGAAGTGCTGCTCTATGCTCTCTGTTTTATTTCTTTACCTCTGAGTCTTCCCAAGGAGGTAGGCAGAATTGTCCCTACTTCTCAATCACAGGGAGAAACAGAGGCTCAGAGAGGCAAAGGAATTTGGCTCACATCTCCTGCCCATGAGGCTACATGGGTTCTTCTACCTGTGAGGGGGCTCCCAGGTAGTACAGAGGAAGACGGTATGGAAAAGCAGTTGCCTTCCTTCTTCCAGCCTACCACCTACAATTCCAAATGCATTAGTAATCCTGCAAAAAGAGAGAGGCTATTGCAACAAGCATCAGCCTCTCTGACCAACAGCCCAACTGGGCACCCAAAGATTAGACACCCTTACTGGCCAGTGGCTGCCTGAGCCTGGACTCAAACCCAGGTCTGTCTGACGCCAAGTCCATCTTCCTGGCCACTAGCTACCTCTGATGGTCACTGTGGCAGAAGGTCCCCACCAGGCCAGGAGGTCACAGGACCCCAGGACACAGGCAATTAGCAAGGGGCCACCCTCCATGTGAAACTGAGGGAAAGGGGAGTCACTAAAAATGCCCACAGTCTGCTGGGCCTGACCCGCTTTCCATAGTTCCAGGGAAGAAGACTGGGCCCACCTACCCACCTTGCCACCCTGTCTCCCAGACAGGCCTACAGAGAAAGCTGGTGAAAGGAGGTAGGGCACGGACCCAGGGAGAAGCCCACTTCTCAAAAGCTAGAGTCCACCAGGGGAAGTGGCATGGTACTCACGAATTTCAAGAAAACATTCCCAAGTTCATGCTGAGACTGAGGCTCTGGGTGTAAACAGTACTCTAAGGCGGCCAAGAAATCCTTATGAACTTCCAGGATGTCTTCGATGTTCGAGAACAGGATCTGTGAGGAAAAGAGGCCAGTGGAGAGCGTTAACCAAGGCACAGAGGGAGAGCAAAGCCAAGCACTAAAAACACACAAACCCTGGTGTGGATGAGACTACAGTCAAAGAACTCTCACACGCCGGAACTGGTTTACCACTAATAAAAATCATCATAGTAACAGAAATATTACCAACATTTGTTAACTATCATCAGGATTAGTGACTAATCCTGTGTTAAGAACTTTATAAGCATTTATGGACTCTAATTCCCACTGTAAATCCATGAGATAGAAACCAGTATTATCCCCAATTTACAGAGGAAGAACTAAGTCTCAGATAAAATAATATTCCCAAGGTCAGCGTCTAGCAAGCAGCTCCACATTTAGCATGCAACATAACTGCTGTGTCCAGCCGCAGGACTGAGGCTGGAAATGGCAAGTATATGTTCATGCACCCATTAAAACAATGTGGTAGAAGCAAACACAATAAGGAAGGGGGTTTGACATACGCTGCCTCAACTCTCACAAACAATATATGAGATCCCTGTTTCCCCACATCAATCTAAAAGTGTAAAATACCAATACGATTTGACCCAGCAATCCTGCATTTTAGAATTTAACTTCCGATCAGTTGTTCCCAACCAGGAACAATTTTACCCACCACCCCTGCCACATACACACACATGGGATGTGCAGCAAGGTGAAGGGACATTTTTGGTTGTCACAAATTGGGAGGAAAAGGGGTGTTTCATAGACAGAGGCCAGGGATGCTGTTTACCCTTCCTGCAATGTACAGGACAACCCCTGCAATAAGCAATTATTCTTCTTCCTTTGCCTCTCTGAGTCTTTGATGATTGAATTTTTTTTTTAAATAGTTGTAACAGCCAAAAACTGGAAATAACCCAAATATCCATCCACGGGAGAATGGATAAGTTAATTGTGTTACATTCATACAATGAACCACAGCTACACACAACACCATGGGTAAATCCCACAGGTGGGGTGGGGTGGGAGGAGCAAAGGACAATCAATGGTCCCAGGAGCCAGGGATTACCCTTAGGGAGGGAGGACTGATGGAGGTGGGCACAGAGGGGACAGCTGAGGCCAGGAAATGTTCTCTGCCTTCATTTGGGTCATGGTTACACTGGTGCATTCGCATGTAGACAGACACTGCACTGAGCACTAAGGAGCTGCACGCTTTACTGTATGAGACTTCTACCTCATTAAAAAAAAGGTAATTTTTAAAAACTGTAATAAGTTGCAATTTAAAATTATAATAAAGAATTTTAAAACTATAATAAATACTGCAATAAATAGGTGGAATAAACAGTAGGTGCTCAGTAATATTTGCTGAATGAATGAGTCAATAAATGGATGCACGTATATTGTTTAAATCCCAGTGCGTGAACACACACACACACCCCACCTCCAGGACCAGCCATGCAGAGACCTTCAGCAATTCCTTGACATCTCTAAGATTTAGCTTTCTTATGTAAATAATTAGGTGTAGAGTTGTCAACATGCAAGGCCACCGTCCACATTCACCAGGGCGTTTGGGGGGATGTTTTCCATGACCGAGTCCTTTGTGTGCTGTAAATACTGGGCACCTTGGACACCAGGACTGTCAGAGCCCCGAAGCCTGAAAGGCGGCTCAGAGAGTGAGGTCACACAGAAAGCTAGGACTGGAGAGCCAGGCTGGGGCTGAGCCATGCACACAGAAGGCCTATTGATCTCCTCCTCAAACTCCCCAGAACCCACGGCCAAGGCCAAACTGGACCCAATTACTCATCAGCCCTGCCTGGACACTGGATGCCCAAGGCGGAGGTGGGGGCCGGGGCTGCCAGGAGAAGGACTGGAGGTGCCAGGCTCCCAGGGGCACTCGGGAGGGGATTTTCCACTGGCTCCAAGCCAGAGGGCCTGACATCAGGAGCCCAGAAGCAGGGGCGGGGGATGTCACACTGAGTACGGAAAGTCTTGTGTTGGAAAGCGGGGCCCGGGGCTGATTCCTGCTGACGTCCACCAAGCACAGCTTGCTCACAGGACAAAAGGCATCCAGTGGCTACAGGGAGCAAGCTGGGGCAGGGCAAAGCCAGTGGTCAGCAGCCAGTGGGTGGCGCGCCTCCCCCTGCATGCACACCCTCTGAGCATTGCAGGGGAAGAACAAGGCACAAAGCGGCAGAGATGCTCTAGCAAAGGGGTAAACCCAAGCGTCCACACCTTGACATTCTCCTCCGTGAGGCCCTTCTCCACCGAGTCGGTGACGTTCTGCCGGATGCGCTGCAGGAATGCCTGGAGGAGAGAAGCGAAGAGAGGTGAGTGTCCGTGCCTCCAGCTCTCCCAAGGACAGCCCTACAGAACGCTCTCAAGTTCAAATGCCAACCAGGACGTAAGAAGTACCACGGGTCCAGGGACACAGGCAGGGGACAAGGAAAAATGTGCTCTGCTTACACATCAAACACACTGGAACAGCCCTCACTCCCACACAGTCACTAGGGGTTTACTGTGCACCTATGCCACACCCCGTGCTGGGCCCTGAAGATAACAGCAGAGAAAATCTCAAAGCCCCTGCCCGCGAGGAACCTTCAGCCCAAAGAGATACACACCTGCTTCCTCACCAGGGCTGCCGCTCAGACTTTATTTCCCCTTTCAATTTTACTTTGCTTTACAACTTAACTTCTGAATAACACATTCACATGGCTCAAAAGTCAAAAATATAAAACGGCAAAAGCACAAAAAGTCTTTCTCCTTACCCCAGCCCCAACCATCCAGTCCCTCCTCACCCTGCAGGAACCCCGGCTACTAGTTTCTTGGGTATCCTTCCAAAAAATCTATGCAAAAACAAACACAAACACACACACACACGTGTTCCTATCTTTTTTTAATCTCTTTACACACCAAAAAATAGCAACATACACAGGATGCCCTGCACCTGGATCTTCTACTTAATATAGCTCAGAGGTCCTTCCAAATCATCTCACGAGGAGCCTACCTGCAGACGCCGGGAACCTACTATTTGAATGGCCCACAATCCTTCTGCCACCTTTGAGGGGCTTATAACAGATAAATCACATCTCTCCTCCGTGAGACACAGCAGACGAGTGTGACGGAAACAGGGCAGGAGCAACAGGGACTGCAGGAGCCGAGGACGCACCATTCACGTGGGGCCAGGTGGCGAGGCCACAGGCCCGGAACGCAGAGGTTCCGATTTGGGTGTTTTTTTTTTTTAATGAAGCCAGAAATTTGAATTTTTTTAGAAAGAAAAGTCTCCCAGTTTTAAAGTGTTGGTAAAAGAGCCTTCTGTTATTGCAAGGAACTGAATTTTAGGGGTTGAGCGTAGAAGTGAGGAGACCAGAGCAGTAGGGCACAGTGCTGCAAACAAGAGCTGACCTGGCACCAGGAGATGTGGGTGGAAAACTGGCAGAAGGAAGAGCTGCCAAGGGGTCACACCGATGGGCTGAGAGAGTCACAGCGATAAAGGGTGAGGGAGGGAGAGACAGCAAAGTCAGCATCTAAGGGAGACCGAGGCCCAGCACCCACAGCCACCTCCGCCTAGCTTGCCCCAACCCCAGGACGTGGGACCTGGCTGTAGGCTAACCTGGAAGCAGCTATATGGAGACCCCTGTGTTGAGAGATGCTAAGTGTACGATTGCTGAGAAACGCTGAGTGTGTGATAGAATATATTGCTTGCCAGAAGAACGATGGCAAGGAAAACCTAGCCGTCCCCCCAACAAAGTGGAAAACCATTTGGGCCATTCGAAAGTGGCAGGACAGTATATAAATATCACACACCAATTAAAACAATTCTTTCAGCACGTGATATGTGACCCTGCCCCCGAGGCTCCCTCGTGGAGAATACTTTCTGGTTTGTCCTTGATCAGAGGTAAGCAGGCACCAGCTGTCTACCTAGTTTATCTTGGTTCTATGAGAAGACACTGAACACCTGTTTGTTAATGATAATCACCTGTTCAGAGAGAATAAATGTGTGGGTCGGCAGCTGCTTGAGGCCCTCGGCCCAGAATGCTCTCAGCCCCCTGAGGCTCTCAGCTTGGAAGGCGGTTGGTCCCCTGGATAGTCCCACTTTGCTGTTCTATCTGGGTGTCTGCTTCTCAATTCCTTCAGTACTGTCTGGGTGGGGGGTCTCTATGGGCAAGTTGGTCTCGATACCCCTGGGAGAAGGAATTTATGGTGCTGTCACAGCTGCAGGGCCACGGGAAGCTGTGGGGCCTACCAGTCGTCTGCCCTGCCAAGATTGATTACAGCGTGGAGGTCCACGTGGGGGCTGGCCCAGGTGAGCACATGGTCTCCCTGTCACAGAGCCCAGGTGCAGGCTGATGAAGAGCCTGTCTCATCCCATCGTGCTTGTCTAGGGAGATCTCTGAGTGCAGGAGAGACGGTGGGGACAGCCCAAGATAGTTCTGGGGTCAGGGGAAGTGGGGCAGGTAAGCAGGGAGGAGGCTGGCCCTCGGCACATGGCCATCATAGCCTTTCCATCACCCAGATACACGACACATCCATGCCCGCCCCTGGGAGCCCAGCCACCTGCCCAGACTCAAGGCTCTTGGGAGGGGGCACAATGATGGTCCACACAGCCAGTCACAGAAAATGGCAAGACACAGGAAGGCAGCTCTGTCTCTGTCGCCACAGAGTGCAGGGCCATCTCAGCCAGTCTTGGGGCTTTAACCCATTTGTGCCTAGTGTTCCATTATTGGAGCATGAAGCTTGTGGGAGTTAGTTATATCCTACTGTTCAAGGTCATCGCCAAGGTCTGATTTTTCACAAAAAAATATTTGCAACCTCAAGCATAAATGGATTAAATCCCCTTTTTTTGACGACCCCCATGTTTATAACCCCAGACTGGACTTCTCCCCTGAAACCCCCAGACTCTTATATCTAGCTGCAGATTCAATGTCTCCACCTGGATGTCCAAGGGGCACCTCAAACTCAAGCTGCCGAACGCTTAAGTCCTGGACTTCCCTCAAAACGCACACCGAAGGCCGGGCGCGGTGGCTCACGCCTGTAATCCCAGCACTTTGGGAGGCCGAGGCAGGTGGATCACGAGGTCAAGAGATCGAGACCATCCTGGTCAACATGGTGAAACCCCGTCTCTGCTAAAAATACAAAAAATTAGCTGGGCATGGTGGCGAGTGCCTGTAATCCCAGCTACTCAGGAGGCTGAGGCAGGAGAATTGCCTGAACCCAGGAGGTGGAGGTTGCGGTGAGCCGAGATCGCGCCATTGCACTCCAGCCTGGGTAACAAGAGTGAAACTCCGTCTCAAAAAAAAAAAAAAACCCGCACACCGAGCTCTTCCCTACTTGATTAATGGCACCTCTGCCTTTCAAGGGCTCCAGCCAAAACATACATGTCATCCTCGGCCCCTCTCCTCTGACACTCCACTTCCAATACATCAGCAAATGCTACCAGCTTTACCCAAAAACCACAACCACTGGCCCCCATCTCCACAGCCACCCCCCGCCCCCAAGTCCAAGCCACCATCACCTCCTGCCTGGACTAACATAGCCATTTCCTCCCTGGTCCCCTTCACCCTCCCAAAAGTCTGTTCTCTACACACAGTCAGGGAGATCCCTTTAAATCTGTACAGGAGATCAGTCAATCCACACCTTTAAAATGTCCATGGCTTCCCACTGCACTTAAATTCCAAATCTTTCCATGGTCCCCATGACCTTTCCTTGTTAACCTCTCTGATCTCACCTTCTGGTACTTCATCGCCCCACACACCTCAATATAAACTATCCTCAGCCACACTCTCATTCTAGATTCCATCCACCTGCCAAATACACTCCTGCCTCAGGACCTTTGCACATGCTGTTTCCTAATGGCAAGATGTTTTCCCCAATTCTGCCCTGAACAGCCTCCTCACCCATCCACCTTTAGTTCAAATGTCACCTCCACCAAGAGGCCCTCCTCATCTTAATGCAAACTCCTATCTTCCCATCTTGCATTAAGCGCTCATTTGACAGATGAGAAAACTGAGGTTAAGCAATCTATACAAGCTCCTAATGGAAAGGCCAGGAGAAGCAGGGAGTGGCTAGGATGAAACCATAACCCCCAATCCAACAACAGAGGCCAGGTTTAGAAACTCGTGAGTCTGGGTTTGAACCAGGGGTCCTTCCTGCCATGTGAGCTCAGGAAAGTGCGCTAGCCTCTCTGAGCCTTCGTTTACTCTTCCCAGTGGAGATCACAGGAATACAGCACCTTTCAGAATATCATGAGATAAAGTGAATGGAAGCTCCCTGAAGGCAGGCACCCTGTCTCTCTTGTTCACAGCTCCGTCTTCAGGGCCAAATGTAGTGCCCAGCAAACAGCAGGTGATTGAAAATCAAAGGAAGGTATGGATGTGCCTGGCACAGTGCCTGACACATGGCAGAAGCCTTGATTTGGGCCCCTTGGAACTCTGCTGATCCTGCTTTTGAAAGGACAATGGGTGCGGGGGACAGGACGGGAGTTCCTAGAGGATGTTTTAACAGGGCCTGGGATACTGAGAGGAAGTCAAGTTTCCAGCTTCCCCAGACTAGAGGGAGACAAAGGCAGCCCCACCCAGCACAGCCAGGGAGGGCAGGAAGCTGGGAGTGCGGCACTCTTGGCTGGCCTAGATTGGGGCTTCCTGTCCCCTGTCCCGGATTCTTCACTCGAGCTGGCTCACCGCTATTGTGTGGCAACAATGGGAGGCTCAGGCCACCCACTGAGGAACTGCAAACAAGCCGCCATGAAGGGCACAATGGGCTGCTCATGACCCGGAAAGAATGGGCAGCAGGGGCTCTGGGCCCAGCCCTCCTGCTGCCCAAGACACGACTGGCTTTTCCAGGCAGCACCAGCATCCCCTGCACCGGCAGGGATGGTAAAAGGGACCCTCCAGGGCGACTCTTTGTCCAAGGCTTGACAGCTTTGAAACGCTCAGGTCAAAAGCAGCTCTCATCTCGGAATCCTGTTCTCAGGATTTCCAGGGCTGCCTGAGAAACTCCAGCCTTGGAAGCTCTGCCCGTGCCTGGACCACTTGTCCTCACATCTGCCCAAGTCCTCCTCTTCGTTTTATGAATATGATGATGAAATACGTCAAGGATACAGAAAAGAACAGAGAAAAACAACAAACACCCACAAACTCATCACTACCCAGCTTTGGCAAATCTTAACGCTACGCCAAATTTGGTTGAAACTATTTGTGAAAAGAAATTCAACAAGTCTGGGGGAGGCACAGACTGGAAAGGGGATGAGGAGGCCCTCGGGGTTGCTAAAAACGTTCTTTATCTTGATCCGAGCAGTGGTGACACAG